CCCCCCCCCCCCGAGTTCCAGCTGGGGGTGTTCCAGGAACTGGAACCACCAGTTCCAGCTGGTGACGTGTCCAGCTGGGGAGAGGACCACAGATTCTTTGCCTGCCACCCCCCCCCCCGAGTTCCAGGGGCTTCTAAGGTGCCTGTGGCACTTCCTTATGACTCTGTGGCAGCTAGCAGCACCCAGGGACTCTGGTGGCATCAGTGACGGTCCCCGCTGCATGCAGGCGAGGAGGCCCTGGGGAAGGGCTTCGCTGGTCAGAAAGAGAGCCCGTCCTCGTTTGCGATTAATCCGAAGGAAGAAGTGGCACCGGCCGTACTGGGCCTGGTGGCCGCGTCCTTCCTGTGTCCCCTCCAGCCCATCCTCAGGAAGCACAGCCTCTCGTAGACACGAGCTCTGCATCCACAGACCGCTAAAGAGCAACAGAAAACGGCGTGAGCAGCACTCCATCGTAAACAGGGCAGGAATGCTCACTGACGCGTGCTGGGTCTCTAGCTGTCCGTCCCCGGGACCCCTCCTCGTGCACCGTGGCTCGGGAACCCTTCCTTCCGCCCGTGTAGTTCCCGAGGGTTGAGGCCGATCTGAAGAAACAGCACTGGGCTCAGTCACGTGCGGTGCGGGAGGCTCCCGTCTGTCCGGGCCCACGTGGCTACCGATTTGTGTCCTCTCTGGGGTGACGGATAAGTAACTCTCTGCATGTTGCTTTGTCTCTGCCCGAGACGCCTCTAGGACCAGCCAAATAGGATCTTTCCAGCCTGCTGGTTTTCGGCCGCACCGTTCAACCTCGTGTGTAAACTCACGCTTCAGATTTCGCACCCAGACCTGCATGCTTTCCCCGGCATGCGGCACTCGGTGTTTAGCGGTGTCATGTGGCTTCTCACCCTTCCGCGGTGTAACCAGGCTTAGGGCCAACACGGAGGGCCCCGCACGCCTACCTGCTTCCTCTGGACACGGCACGTCCCTGGCCCATGTGCCGCCCCTTTCTCTCGCGAGGTAGCTCCTGAAGAAAAGCGAGCCTCCGTGAGCACCCGGGGCCACCAGGGTGCACGCGGACGTCACCCCCCGGGCTCCACGTCCTCGCCTCTTGGGGCCCAGACACGCGCACACACACAGGGTCGGGTGTGGGGCGGAGGATGGGACGCTCCGTTCCCCTTGGCTGGGGGATGGACACACATGCACCGAGTGTCACCGCAGGCATTTGCCGCCGTCCAGTTTGGTGAAACCGGTGACGTTCCCACAAACTGCTCGGGGGCGTGAGAGGACAAGAGCACTTTTTGGGGACCCAGGAGGTGGCTGGAGGAGTTGACACTGGTCAGCCCCGCCGCCAGCCGAACATTCTTTTCAAAGACAATTGCTCAACGGTTCTAAGCCTTTTTGTCTCTTTGTTCATAAACCTTTTAGTTTCTTTCTGTTGCAAAAGGGGACAGAAATCACACTGCGAACGAGGCACTGAAAGGCACTGAGTGAATTAGGCTGGTTGAATTGAGCCAGAGCGACTTGATTCAGTGGAGACGCACCTCTGCTCTGCTTGTATTTATTGCCTCAGAATCGTGCGCTGTGACAATCAGACGCGACTTGCCTCGATGCCGGGAAATTCAACTGGCTTCTTGAACGTAAAGACCGTCCATAAGCGCTGTAACTGTGACGGGAATCTCTCTCTCGGGAAAAACCACGCAAACCATTGACTCATGCGGGCGACGGGCGCTAGGGTTCTTCTTCCATCACCGATGACCTATCACACCTGACTGTCGGCCAGTTTCGAAGAGTGATACGTTATATACAGGGTGCAAATGTACTATATGAATGTTTCCTTTTGTACACTTCATTTTTTTACAAGTTTTGCTACTCACAAGCTGTATGTAGTTGAGGAGAGCGGTATTTTTGGCCTCTAGGAGCCTGTGGGGGTGGGGTGGGGCTCGGGGGAGCTACCTTAGATCTTAAAAGCGTGTGTCCCAAACAGCTGGCTGTGTTTGCCGCGCTCCGTAAAGATCACTTTGTACACGGGCATGTGCGAACCTGCCTGAGTGATGGTACCTTCTAGAGAAAATGCTGCAGGCGCCATGCTGCTGTCCCAGAGAAGGACGAAACCTCCACGGTAGAGATGAGAGCGACCTCGGCCTCCTTCTGTTCCTTTGCTTCTAGCCCGGGTCGCCCCGGGGGGAAGCGGCGGACCTCCCCGCGGGCCGGCCACCCGCACACGCCACCCCCTGAGGGGCCGCTCTCTTTGAGGCTGTCCTGCTGGCTGCACTTTTCAAGCTTCTCCATTTCATAGAAGATGCTTTTGGAAGGGGAAACTGCAAAGGAGGGTGACCATCTGGCAAGGGCAAAGGAGAAAGTCGGCAGGTGCATAAAGTGCTAAGTGACCCTCTGCCTCAAAAGGGGTCTCAAAAGCCATCAAGAACAAAAGGTTTTCCAATGTAGGCATGTATATATCAAAAATTATTTTTTTGTAAGAACAAATTCATTCTGTGGAGAAAACCAAGGAACAATTTTTCTTCTTTATAAAGAAACGGACTCTTGTTAGAACCTATTCTAGGTTCTCATGTGTCTGTCTTGTGGAAATAAACTGAGCTGAAAGAATCATGGTGTCCCCTGTTCTCCGGAACGGCCCCCCCCCCCCCCCCCGGCGGTGTGCTTTTCTGTTGCGTGGGGGTGGGGCCACGTCCACGTCCACGCTCCGCTCAGGCCACCCGAGGCCAGGCTCACATTTCGGGCTCTCCCAAAAGCCCCACGTCTACGCTCGTTTTTAAAAAACTGGTCCCCAGAGCACCCCTGCACCAGCCCGTGCACACGCACATGTACACACGCACATCCGTGTACACGAACACAAACACAGGCGCAGGACCTGGGGTGGGACGATGCTATCTTCCCAGGAGGCAAAACCTGTTTCGCTTGGTCTCTTGGAACGGCAGGGTCCGGCCAGACCCTCGTCACCTATGCGCGCGGTTCTGCTTTGTCCGTGTGCTCGGTCCTGTCGAACATGACTGGCCCCGGACGAAGACGGGTGGCTGTGGAACGCGCCCACGGGCTCCTCCCCTGGAGTCTCACGGACACCTGGGACACCTGGGCCCTACTCGACCATGAGCCCCGCCTGTTCTGCGGGCCCGCGTCCCAGCTCTGCTCTGGCTCTGCGGGGGAGCCTCCGTGTGTGGGCGTTGGCCGCTGGCCGCCGGAGGCAATGAGAAGTGTGAGTGTGCATGAGCACGTGTGCGCACACGTGCCAGCACACGCGCATCTGTACACGTTTGCCAGCACACACACATGCGTGCACACATATGTCAGCTTGTGCACGTGCACGGGCCACCACATGTATGTGAACACGCAGAGGTATACACTCACCCCGGACTGTAAGGGGAAACACGGGGTGCTCATATAAGAACAACCCCGGGGGTGCCCGGGCGCCTCGGTCGGTTGAGCGTCCGACTTCGGCTCAGGTCACGATCTCGCGGTCCGTGAGTTCGAGCCCCGCGTCAGGCTCCGTGCGGACCGCTCGGAGCCTGGAGCCTGTTTCAGATTCTGTGTCTCCCTCTCTCTCTGCTCCTCCCCCACTCATGCTCTGTCTCTCTCTCTCAAAAATAAACATTTAAAAAAATTTAAAAAAAAGAAAGAAAAGTCGTCTTGAAGAAAGTGCTCCCTAAAGGCTAAAAACTCAGTGAGGAAACAAAGGTGTCCTGTGACATCTCCGAGGCTGCGGGTGAGGTCACTAGATCCAGGTCCAGCCCCGGCAGCTAGTGGGCAGGACGTCACGCCCGTAGGCACGTCACGCCAAGGAGCACGT